TGATTCCAGCTGGCTGTAAGCTGTGCTCCAAGGTCACACATGGACCGTATAGCGGCTGCCAGAGGCGCCAATGTATGCTTTCGGTTCGACCTTGTTGAGTTGCGTCGTTGCTGTACTTTGCGACGGCGATTAGCCGCGACAATTATTATTATTATTATTATATAAATGTGAATGTACCCGCAAAACGGCACTCAAACCGCCAGAGTACAATAGACCCTCTTGTGATGCTGTACCTGATCCCCAAAACACTTGTTCTACTTGGCTCTGTAAAATCTTTTCATCCCAGCTCATTTGTGTACTTGGTGCATGGTATTTGACAATATAATCCAGAAATTAAGAGAGGATTTTCGATAAACAGTTGGAACGTAGTCTTAAAGTTCCTTAAATTCACTTAATTATGATCTCGAAAATGTCATTTAACAATGTCACCACGCGTCACACCCACCTGAACAAATGAGCGGTACTTCTTCTCTGGTTGAAAACAAACCCCTCGTTTCTCTTCAGTTCCTTCACAACTTCAGGATTAACGTCCTCTGACCTACAACACAAGAATTTCAGATCAACCTCAGTCTTAAATCTCTATTTCTTAACTCGGCTCTGAAAACAACCGCTCATTCTACTCGCCCGGTGTTCATGACGCTGCGGAGCCTTTTAGTCCCTCCACTCTTGTAAGAGGAGTCTAAGTTTTGAGTCCAAAAAATACATACTAATAATAAATCCCTTTCAGATTCGTATAGCCTTAGATTCGCTAAATAAAGCACACAATCTAAGACACTACAGTATGGAATTTTTCCGCTCGTCTCTCAGACGACAGTCCTGTCCTGGTGTGCTGGTACACAAGCGCCGATACAAAAAAACAAACAATACTCTACAGCTAACCAATGACGACCAACGGCTCGTCAACAAAGAAAACAAAATGTTTATTCTCTTGTGAACCCATGCACTTTCGAGGACAAAGACGAAACTTCCCTTTCAGAGAGGAAGGAAGTGAAGCGCTCGGAAAGAGATGTCTGTTTCCTTGAACCACTGCAGTTTCTAGAGAGTACAATTTTCAGCACAATTCTCAGAAATTCGGGAAAGCACATAATGACGACCTAGGAATTGGAGTAGATTCACACCAACAAAACCTGAAAAGAAATTTTCTAGCTTTGAGAAACTCATTTAAAGTATTGAACTTCTGTTTCAGCAAAGTGACTGTATTCAAGATACCGAGGCGTATGACGTTGTTTGCTAATTGTGACATTTGTTATTTACAGCTCACCAGGATCAAAACGGAAATAAAGAGAAAAGGAAAGAATAACAGTTGAGGTGCAATGACATCACAATGAAAACTGCCTGTCGATTGTAAAATAACTGACAGCAAGTGAAAGACTTGAGGCTGGTTAATGATATGGAACGCCATCAAGATGCTACGTTATTGCCGCCTAATTTGAATAAAAGGGTGTTATATAATTTTGAACAATAGATACGATTCAATCAAGAGATATTTTCGCTTCCCTTCCCTTAAGTTACTTAACAACAAGTCAATGTTTTTTTTGGTAGAACAAACATTTCTTTTTCCGTGACAATGCAAACGCCTCAACTGAAGCCTGTGAGTCAAGATGAAAGAACGTTCCCGCGAATATTTACACAGATAGCGGTCGAGCTTGTACAAGGTCAACAAAGCGAACTAACAACAGCGGTGACACGTAATATAGCTAATTTGAAAGTTAATTTTTGCATAGTTGTAGAGGAGGAATAAATGGGTGTAGTGGAGCAGAGACGGAACGGGATTTTTCAGTTCTGCTTGACACCAAGTGAAGACCAGAAAGTCCCGGAGCATTATAGCGTTTGAGATGTACCCTTGAATGTTTCTTTCTGCGCTCGAAGAATTTCAAGAGAATCTGTCGTCTGAGTAACAAAATTTGGAGGGAAGAATGCAGACAAGCGGTTGAATCGACTAATATACTGACAACAAACACACCAAGTGATCGCCAGATAAAGAGGTGTTTGAACAAATGGGACCACATTCAGGAGCACAAATTTAATAACCTCGCCTTCTTTGTGTAGGTGAAAACTCAGTCACTAGGCAGTCCACATGAGTTGTGCAAACTTTTTAAAACTTCTCTTTCGCTCGCGAAAGGGCGATCTAACAGACGAAGACACATATTTCAACCGGTGTTTGACTGTCCTGGATGTCATTTTGCTGGGAATGGGTTCCATGTTAGGACCTGGTTTGTACGTAGCCACAGGACAAATCGCTCGAGATACAGCAGGGCCAGCCATTGTGATTTCTCTCATGATAGCAGCAGTCCCAGCTATTTTGTCTTCGCTGTGTTACGCCGAGTTCTCCGCTCGAGTCTCAAAGACTGGATCATCGTATTTGTATACATACCTCGCTCTGGGTGAGATATGGGCTTTTATAATTGGATGGAACCTTATTTTGGAAAACGTTCTCGCTAGCGCACTGCTGGGAAATGAATTTAGCAAGTTTGTGAATTCTGTTAGCGGCGATCGAATCTCAGATTTCATGACGGAAAATGTGGCTAATTGGACCGTGAAAGGGTTTCGACGGTTTCCAGATTTCATAGCTTTTGGTATCGTTATTTTCTTCGCTCTTATGGCTGCCACAGGGCCACGAAAACCAGCCTTGTTCATGCGATTTGCGACTCTGATCAATCTGCTGGTGGTGTTGTTTATTGTACTGTCTGGATTCTACTTCATGGACACAACTAATTGGGAGACACTTGAAAAATTCGCGCCGTTCGGATTCGATGGCATCATGCAAGGCGCATCTCTTTCTTATTTTGCGTTTCTCGGTTTCGACATCATTAACTCCGCCAGTGAAGAAACGAAGAATCCTCTAAGAGCCGTTCCATTCGCTAATGCTGTGAGCACGTACATTGGTGTGTTCATATACCTGATTACTGCAGCGATATTGACACTGATTATTCCGTACAACCAGCTCAGTTTCTACAGTCCGCTACCTGACGCATTCAGTTATACGGGTTTCAAAGTTGGCAAATACTTTGTTGCCATCGGTGGATTCTTTGGAATGTCAACCGCTATACTCACCTTCACCTACGCCGGCACCCGTTTAATTTACGCCATGGCAAATGATGGACTTTTATTTCAAAGTTTAGCTAAGATCAGTAACAGAACTCAGATCCCTTTAAGAGCTGCGTTAATTTTCGGCATCAGCGCGGCAGGAATTGTTTTATTCCTAGATCTCAATGACCTGGTTGAGATGCTGTCTATAGGAACACTTATGGCCTACACTGCAGTATCGCTAGCTGTTTTACTTGAGCGCTACAGACCTTCTTCGTCGAAATTTCAGGACGATGTCGAAGAGGACGATACGACAGATGACGAAACTGCCACTTGCTGTGTAAAGCTAAGTAGTGGGATAAAGAAACGATTCTCTAAATCATTAACAAGCCAAAGAACTAAAAACGACTTGCGCACCAAGCTAGGGGAGACACCAAACCAGGAAACACATCGCATGGCGGGGCTTGCGTCAGCCTGCCTTCTCTTTTCCGTTTACGGTTTTTGTATGACCGTATCTCCTGGCAGTGGCTTGCCTCACATCGCACAACAGAATCCTGTCGTCATATTTGTCTCTTGTCTAATGGCGCTTATTGGTGTCCTTTCATTGGTGTTACTGTTCCTGCTGCCGACCAGGCAGATGAGAGTTATACACGCAGTACCATGCACTCCGTTTGTTCCACTGACCAGTATCTTTACAAATATCTATCTGCTAACTAATTTGTCTCGGTGGACCTGGGCCCGGTTTGCTGCCTGGATGTTTATTGGTATGTGTTTTGTTTTCTCTTGCTGTAGTGACTTTGTGTTAAACCACCAAGTTGACCCAAATCTCCGCCTAGCTTTATAGAGATAGACAGTTTGCATGTTTAACACTTCTGCTAAGTCTAAAGAACATGACTCAAACTTTAGCAAAGCCAAACTAAAAACAAGGAATTGAGCTACTTTTTCCCCATGCTCTACCAAAATCTACAAGTCGATAAGATCTTGAAATCCGAGACAAAGGTTATAAATAACTTAAATCTTGACTAGCTCGACTATCTCTCGCTCTTTTCTCGTGGAGAACACAAACCCGATTCACTAGAGAAATTGCGCGGGTGATGATTGGCCAAAAACGTGTTAGCTGTGAACAGAAAGCATGCTTGTAGTGACACAGCACACTGAGTAGGGGTGGGGACTGGGGGCTCAAACTAGTTACCGGTTCATTCCTACGTGTCCATAGTTCAAATGTGAATCTAGTGTGTGACCACTGAAATGAAAGAATAGATATTAAGTTGTACAAGGTGGTTTCAACCCTCAGGTTTGAGTGCAAAACCCTGATGCGTGGCTACTCAAATGAAAACTACCTTGCAAAGTTGAGATTTGGGATGTTTTATTAATATTTTAACCTTGCAACTCTTGAGTGTGCACAACGCAATCTAATGAATATGTTGTGTGCTTGAAGGTATGGCTATTTACTTCATGTACGGCATCCATCATAGTAAACAAGCCTTAAATGGAGATGGTGACTTTCTACAGCGACTCACTCAGCCAAAGCGTACCGGGACACCAAGCAGTGACGAAGGACCTCTGTCACCGACCAGCGACAGCGAGAACGATGATGAAGGATTCCAGTCTAACTTATTGACGAGCGAGGATGATGCTCATTAAAGAGCACAGGGATTGAATGATTCTTTTTCTTGCTCTGAACAGTTACATCACGTGACATACTCACTATACACTTTTCACTCGATATTGTTTGTATATATATATATATATATACCCAATCTGTCAATCATACCGGGTTACCTAGCAACCTTATTAAATAAGGACATAACTAGTTGCTTCAGTTTTGTTTAGTGTGAACAATGAATAATTTTTAAAGAGAAAATGAAAGGGAGCTTATTTATCCTGGAAAAAAAATCAAATTCGAAATATTATTTCTTGAAGGTGCTTTAACCAGTGTTCGATATTTATTTTTATTCAAGTAATGATTTGAAAGCAGCTACAAAGCGGCTGTTTATTAAATTACTTGTTGCAAAATGGCTAAGTCATTTAAAAATTGCCTAAAACGCGACAAAAGGGTGCATGAAAGATGCGAGCGGATAACACGAGTCCCACCATGCTGAGGTCAGATTATGAAAGTTCCCTCATCATTCCTCCTGCGCTTTTCGAGTAAAACAAGATGCAAACACTCGAGTAAGAGAATGGCCGCGCGAAAGCTGGAGGTGGAGCCACCTCCTCAGTTTTGGCGAAATTCTCCACGAGTGACAAGACGTGAACAACTTTAAAATGGAATTCTTAACAGGTGACATTGGCCACACCACTGCTGCCAATTTCCCACATCAAAAAGCCACAGGAAAGTAGAGATAAGAAACACCTTCAAATTCAACACTGTACTGCCCCTGTCATGGTCTGTTTACGCCACTGAGGGAAACGTTTGTTTCCCGAGGTATCACAAGGATATGCACGCCGCCATTACTCATGTTCATGAGACAGTAGCGGCGGATTCAAGGGAACGCCTTCTACTAAATATTTTTAAGGCTCACACAAATCATGAGAAAATAATACTTTTTGAATCAATTTTCAAAATTACCAAATGTCGTTTAAGCTAGATAGCAAGATTTTTGAGTCAATTAAGTATTTTTTTAAATTTCATTTTTCAGTATAGGTAAGTACCGTAAAGGATCGCCCCACATAAGCTCCCAGGCCAAGCTACTTTGCTTCTCCGGATCGAACAGAACACTGGGAATGTTGTCGATAGAAGAGACAAGCCCACCGCCTTGACTGGGCAGCGGAATACCCCCATGAACACAAAAGATCTGCAAATATAAACAACGGCAGAATTTGTAAAATTTTCCAATTACCTTGAATGACTAATTAACGATAGTGGAGTAATGAGTTTACAATGAGCAAAGTCAAATATAGCAAGTGGTCACAGTTGGCAATTAAACTAAAATACTGGAAGATAATACCATAAAAATAGCTCTCTCTCTCTCCCTCCCCCTCCCCTGAGAGTGCTAACACACGTGATTTTATTCTGGGATAGCCATGTACAAATGACAGCAAATTGTTCGTACGTCATACCATTTTGGTTCGATATTGTTTCTTGTCTTTTGTGTCTTTCATTTTACGTAATCTGTGTCTAGTGCACGAAGTAGAAGCCAGCAGACATATATTTTTTACAATCTGTAACGGACGAGCCCTGTCTTAAAAGCCCCGGGAACATTTCGGGCCCGCAAAGCCATTTTTCATTAATCTCTATCTAAAAACAGCGAGTTGTACTCGCCTGATACTTCTTGTATGAAGAGAACTTCTGTTCATATTAAGAATATGTGAACTGAAAAAACAGCTCTGTAATCATAAGGTTTGAGATTTTGCTATGGCTTTCCGGGTGCGAACACTTTTCGGGACCTTCGAGAAACGGGCCCAGGTCAATTACATGCAGATAAATGTGATATTCCTAATTTTGCGCACGCAATCGAAGTTGTCGCGAGTTTTCTGAGCACTTTTTACGTACATCATGTAACCAAAATCGGTGGATTCAAGGCTTGATTAATCTAGAGAGAATCAACACTACATTCAGTTATGCATCAAGCGGATGAAAGTTTTACCTTATTGTCTACAATGGCAGCCAGTGGTAGAACATCAAAAATGGCGTTCACTGCTTCCCACACCTCCTCGCCCAGTTCAGCGCCAAACTTTTGTATACATTCACTGACAAGCAGAACCCGAAAAAAAAACCGGAGGTTAGTCAAAGTTAACTTCTTCCGTGTGAAGTCAGGGTCTCATTCTATATGATTAATCTTATTACAAGACTAATACGTCGTGTTAATGTTACTACATCATAACATCTTCTCAAAAACTTCTCTCCAATGTCAATATCGAAGGCATTTATAGTAAAAACCCGCATATAAGAAGCTACATTTTTCCAAGTTATCCTCAAAAGGTTACAACAGTTTCTTGTTTTCTTTACAACAAATGTTTCTATTGCTAGAAGAATATTGGTACCGTCTATGGTTTATAGAAAAATATGCGTATAATTATATCTAAATGACTGTAATCTAAACATATACAAACCATATCTATTTGATTTACGAATAAATTCTATAAAGTACGAACCTATTTGAAATTTTACGCTACAAGAGTTTCTTTTGTTAAAGTGTATAAGTGGAAATCTGAGCCTAACAGGTTCTCAAAAATTACGCCCTTATAAGCGGGTTTCTACAGTAACTGGCTTATCAGTAACTGGCTTATCTATTCTCCCCAGTCTTCATATTACAAGGATAAAGCTTAGAAGAAATAACCACAGCAAATTGCTTGTCACCTTATTCTGCCCCACCCTTCTTTATATTAACAGGTCCAAAGACAGTCTCTAGATACAAAGTTCCACGTCTTCTGCCCGGCTTTAAATTACCTGTGAAAGGTAAACATTTTCTGGATGTCTCTGGTCTCGTGGTTACCGCGAATCAGGAAAAACTTTGATGGAGCGAGAACTTTCTGGGCGAACAAGTATGCAACAACCTGCAGGGAACGACTACATCATATCACCATGAAATTACAAACAAGTTGAAGTTTAATCTTCTAGGTTATACATACTGGTGATTAAACAGATTAGGAAGATTGGGATAGAATGGCCCAGGATGGACAATGTTCTTTATTCAAACGGAAAGCCAGCCAGCCAGCCAGCCAGACAGACAGACAGACAAAAAGGCAGGCAGACAGAACGGCAAACAAACAGACAGAAAAAAAGGCAGGCAGACAGAACGGCAAACAGACAGACAGACAAAAGGGCAGGCAAGAAGACAGAAAGGCAGACAGACAGACAGAAAGACGGACAAACAGACAGACAGGATGGACGTTCATCAACATTCAGATTCCAAAGCAACCTTTTCTTCGTCACAGAAAGAGCATTGTTAACTACTATATCCACAGCTACTTTGACAATGTTAAGACGAATTTCATAATCAATAACAGGACAGACGCATGAAAAACTGACGTCAATTTGTTAAATATTCTATTTTACTTATACCCCATTGCTTGTATTAATTCAACCGAACTTGTAAACGAATTCACAGCTGAAGATGATCGTTGAACGATCGAAACATGTCTTGTTTTAAACTTAAAGTTGTTGTCCATTTTTTAAAAATTCTATCAGTTATATTCATTTTCCGTGAGCTGGTAAAATAACATCCCCCTACGCTGTGATTGGCTACCCAAGCGGGCAGGATGGAACTATCTTGCCCAGTCTCTGCCCTCTTGGGGTTACAGGCTGTATCCCTCGAGAAAATGGTCTTCTATATGCTAGGCGTGAGGTCTGCCAGAGGAGTTGGCTGAGTAGGGGCATGGGTCTAGACAAAACTACACCACGAGCAAATTAGGAGCCGGGCTGGCCCCAGGCTGCCGGGTAAACTTACCTCTACTCCATTCTCCCCTCGATCAACGTAGTCTCCAAGGAACATGAAACTAGCAGGCGTCAGAACTGGGCCCATACGCCACAAAACCTTCTCAAAACAGACCAAGTCATGGAAATTACCGTGAAGATCACCTGAGAAAACAAACTGAGAGATTAGAACCTTGATGCCAAATAAGAGCAAAACCACGATCAAATCTTTATTTGCCTAACACGGCTTTTCTGCCGCGGGTTGCGTGTTTTCCCGCGCTTGGTGCCCGTTATAACTAACTTCAAGTTCCGGTTAGTTTATTACATGAAATTACAAGCATTTCCACTAAAGTGACTCGGCACATTAGAAGGCTTGAGCTAACCAGGACCGGCCACGAGAACGTTACCAAACAAAACGTTTAATGAGCTAATGAGTAGCGAGGGACAATTTTTCATATTTTGTTTGGAAATAGGACCCTGTCATTACATATTCAGCCCAACAGTTTTTCGGGGTCATTTACACTGGCCTTCATTTACTCAATGAATCATGAATACCGTTCTTCGAGGTTTTGACTTAAGTGTCGTTGTGTCGTGATAACTTTTGACGCAATTTTGTTTCGGATTGAGTTACAGTTAAATCTTGCCAAAAAAAAAAAGACACAGAGGGCAAAATTAAGAGATGCAGTGACTGGGGACTTCGCAAAAAATCTTTTCTTAAACGTATTTGGAAGTTCACCCGGGCAGTTTAATTAAACGCATTGATCAGCACAAACAAATCTAAACCAACTTATATCCTTTCAACTGACAGTCAAATTACAAGAGATGCGACTGACCTACGATGTATGTGGGTGACTTGACTCTTATTAGTCGAGGCTCCTTCTGAATAATCTCCAGTAGGGTCCGACATATGCACACCAGACAGTTCCCTAGGGACGGCATTTCCACGAACCCCCAGCTGAAGCTCTCCTTGGGCCCCCCTGATTTACTACTGTTGGGGGTCACTTTTATCGCCCGCTCGAAGTACCTCAGGGCTGACAGCATTTGGTTGGCATCTGATTGCTTGAGAATTAAATAGCATAAAACATCTTTATTAAAACATTGAACTATACAAGTTAGATATAATGGTGCAGTAATTACGCCAAATGCAACCCTAGACAGAGGAAATTTCTCACGTGATTTGCAATTTTACAAATTGTGGTGATTACAAAAAGTATCGCAAGTTTAAGAAGTTAATCAGCGCAAATGCACGCTGTTTATCAGTTAGGTGAATGGTCTACTACAATCCTAGGCCTTGATGACCTTGATGAAACCTATTTATTTTGGATGTTTACCCTGGAATACTCCAAAGCGGAGAGGAGAACTTAAAATGTCTTCATTATTAACAGCTGTTCAGCTTGTGAGCCGGAAACAAGAATAATCCGGCTTTTTCATGGAAGAGAAAAAATAAAAACACACGGAAATTAATTTTAGCCCCTATGAGTGGGATTGGGGGAACTGAAAAAATGTCAAAATAAAGTCAGAAAAATAACTACACCGTAAACTAACCATTTTTTAAAAGTTCCCTATTTACGAATTTTTCTCAGATACAAGATACGGACTGATTCTTTTATCGACGAAATACTTGCGGCACTTAGATGCTGTTTACTACAGGACAACGTTCGAACAAATGTTAAAATAGACTTCCTTGAGTTTCTTTACATACGGGGTTAAATAAAGGGGCTCAGAATTCATATAAACCGGGTTTAAAATTGATAAAAACGCGAAACACATTAAACAAAAGGCTACGAAGCAAATTCTGAGAACATAAAGTCAATAATGGTCATGATTGAAACAGAACTTGACTTCTGATATGAGACAAAAATAAAGTGTAGTCCCATCTGTAGTCCCATCGTGGGAGGCGCGGTGGCCTCAAGCCCGGGAAACTTTTCGGACTCGCAAAACCATTTTTCAGGATGATCTGTACCTAAAAACCGAGTGGTGTGTACGACTGAACCTCCTTGAATGAAGAGAACCTCTGTTTAAGATTTTGCTACGGGTTTTCGGGTGCGAAAACGTTTCGGGACCTTCGAGAAACGGGCCCCTGGCCGGGGACATTGTGTTGTGTTCTTGGGCAAGACACTTAAACTCTCACAGTGCCTCTCTCCACCCAGGTGTATAAATGGGTACCGGCGAAATTAATTCTGGGGGGTAACCCTGGGATGGACTGACATCCCATCCCAGGAGGGAGTAGAAATACTCCTAGTCGCTTCATGCTACGGAAACCGGGATACGTCCCGGACTGATAGGCCACTTGGCTCGTACCCCGCACTTGGCTCATATACAGACTTTACCTTACCCCATTTGTATGAAAAAGGCGTACTGTAATGCTCGATTTCACCGTCATTTTCAAGGTTTTAAGTCGTAAAACATAAGACGATAGGCCACAATCATCAAATCTGGCAGGTCTTTACCATTCAAGTGAAGTCACACACACACACCTTGTTAAAACAGTTGATTGACGGAAGCCTTTCTATCTTGAGTTTACTAGTCACCAGTTCACTCTGAGCACTTCCTGTTACCATGTTGCTGTTATTCATATCCCACAATACACTGACGTCACTCAGCATTCCACTTCGACGTACTTTAACCGTGTGAGTAGCAAGCTCGTACTTTTCTGTAACGGCTCTGAAAGTGCATGAATGAACATACTAGAACTGTTAATATCACATATTACCTTCCACAACACCTCCTTCCTTCATCTTTCTCTTTCCCCGAGGGAAAGAGTATAAGTATTTTAGTATTAGTATTGTAATTAGATTTTCAACGTAGTTTTAGTTTTTAACGTATAGTTATAAAGTTTTAATCTGTGTACATAAATTTGTATTTTTAACCTGATGTTATTTATACAGGGCCCCTATGGATACAAGCCTTTGAGCTGAACGGGCTACCCTGTTTAAATAAAGTTTTACTTTACTTTAAAGGGGCAATGAGATCCAAAAGAGGTTTTCTCTCCATTTATTTTCTCTCCTACTTTTCCTTTCCTTTCGATCGCCATTTCTGTTTATAGAATTGTGTGACAGTCACTAAAGTTTCAGACCAGTCAAAAAGCTTTCCAACGGGGTGGAAAACCGACCTGACGTAAATTGGTAAATTTTTGGCATTCTCTGGTGGACAAATTATTTAATTAAGCTCTAAGTTTATCTCCTCCTTCGTAATATTAAAACATAACTCGCGGCTTCAAATTAAAAACGCTAAATCAAAACGGCAATGCTGCTTCGAACAAGACAGATGAAAGTCCATAAAAAACTGCTGTTTTCACAAAGCTGAACAACAAAACAGAATTACAGAAAAGTCACTTATTATGTGCAAAAGTTTTACTTACTCAATTGGAAAGCCGTTTCCTTGAAAGTCCATAGTATCATTTATTTCGTTACTCCGTCTCTTTTTAACTGGGGACTTGGATCTGCAATACACACATGCGTCAAAAACATCAGAAAATTGTGGTTATTGCAGTTATCAGCGGTTTGATGAACAAACAACCCTTTTGCTTCTTACGTATGCCTCTTTAAATAAAGGAGTATTTGATCACAGACTCAACTGCAGTAACAGCTAAAGAAGTTGTACTTCCCACATGTATCATACAGTTTGAATTCCGCACGCGCACTTAAATGCTCTGTTTGGTTTACTTCGACGTTTCTTAGAGAAAACGATTTTGTCAGTGCCACAACCAGCCTCTATAGCTCACACCTGTTACCATTAGTTTAACACTTCCACTTGCAATGTTTCTTATTTACCTGGAAATTCACGTGACTGTATAATCATAGAGCATGCGCACTTATCTACCTGGTAATCAGTGCCCCTTTGTCCTCAGTTAGACTTTGATACATTTCATCTTGAGCAAGTTTGATGATTGACACAGGCAGACGGAACAGCACAGATGTTCCACGGAACTTCAGGCTTCCCACTGTTTCTAAAAACTCTACCAAAGGGAGTTTGTCTGTGTAGCCGGATCCAAAAAGTCTGACAATTAGAACAAAAAAAAACCAAATTAATCAACAAAACCTATCCTAGCTTTCAAGGTTTTCAACATCCATTATCTGTAATCGTTGGGAGGAATGTGGGTGCAAAAAATGACTGGAAATTGAACCATTTGCAATGAGTAAAGACTGTGTACAAGTCAAACATGTAGGTACAAAAGATAGAGCTAAGATATATTTAGCAACCCTTTCTCCAGTGGGGGACTTAAAAGAAGTAGAAGTTATCAAAAGAACCCAACATTCACCCACTTGACTGACTTTGATGTTTGTGCAAAATATTTACTATTTATCACTTCCATATCACACGAAATTTCACACTAAATTGCCATGACATACCACTATCGTATTAAACTCATTTGATGTGGTTTAAAATCTCATTATTACTGTAAATAGTTTCTGAAAAACCTCTGAGAGGATGAATATATTAGCGGTGGAGCTCCGGCGGCTCAAAGGGCCGCCAAGCGGAGCCCCATAATCATATCGGAAAGAAAAGGAAACCCATGAATTGATTTTCTCATGGTTATCATGGATAGCGGTATTGCTCGTGGGCGCGTATGCACGACGGCGACGACGGAGTCGCGCAACATGGCAGCCATACTCCAAATAATAGTTTGACAGAGACATACCGTGTACTTCTTTGATATTAGACATCCATGTTATTATCAATTGACACCTGTCAAAACAAGATATCCGCTGACCAGTATCACATGACCACATCGTGGGCTCAAGTTTACATCTTATCACCACCGAGTGCTGGTTTTCGATTGGATCAGGGGCTTATGTCAGGTTAACTTGTTGAAAACAGGGCAGGATTGTTCAGAAGCCAGTTAACGCTAACCCAGGATTAAAAGTTAACCAAATTATAACTTTTTCTTCTATACAAATGTTTTTGGCTGCTTTCTTTTGTGTATATGGTAATTATTAAAACTCAAAAAAGAAGGACAAACAATGTACAGAGAACCTCGCCACAAAGTTACAAAACTCAAATCAAAACTCTCCCTTTTCCTGGGTTAGCTTGATCAGGCTCTGAACAACCCGGCCCAGGAGCTATGCTTTTAGGCTGGCCTAAATCTATGTATTAAAGTTTAAAGTTTAAATTCACATACTTGGCCTTGTTCCTTGCTTCCTGTAGAATGTCTGAGTCTTTTACACTCCCTCCTTTCAAATGCTGAATATCTTTTATCATTAATCTGTTCAGTGAAAGAAAACAATAACATTACTGGGAGTCAGAAACAGTTATAACCCACTTCATTCATCTTAAAATGAATAATATCTTGACTTTCACCTGCTGGACTTAATCTTTGTTGCCTTTTTGACATCTTTTCTTGAACACTGTTTGTTGTTGCTTCTGCTGAGCACCATATAATTTGAATTTTGTTTAAAACAAAGCGATCATTCTCTCTTCCAGATGAACATGGGCAAAACCAAAACCAATCACAATTTGCCTATTTTTCCCACAGTTTGCACCAGTTCTATGATTCTTCTTCAAGTTCCAATTTTTTCACTGTGTTACTTCTGTGACCGGCCAGATGTGATTATGAACAGGTTTAGTTTTACTACGGTTATACTACTAGCACTGCTCAGCAACTACAACTCACTTGAATTCTTCAAAGGAAAGAAAAGCTTCTTGTTCAGCAGAATAGAACCTGAAAATATATCTGCATCGCAGTTCCCCAGATGGCCCCCCATGAGGCGTAGAAGGATCCATGGCTGCAACTCCAAAGAGGACTTCTTGATATGTCAGTTGATTACAATGGTTAAAGTCAAATGCTCTGAAGATAAACATACATGTATCAAAGCATAGGATCAATACAATAACACCATTATAACACCTGTATAACCTTGCACAAGCTCATTAGCATGGATCTCAAGGTAGATTCTAGGAGTGTTAAATGGTACCTATAGAAAATCTTGGGTCTTGTTAACTTTTGAAATGATCAATAGTAATAATCTTGGAATATTTTGTGATGAGTTGCAAGTCTTTTTTTATGGGTTTCTTTCTGTCTCAGAGTCTAATTTCATTTGAGTCACAGTCTCCAATTTTCAAACAATGGTTACAGTATCTTGGCGAGTCTCAGCTTTAACAATCTGTTGCCCCTAGATTCTCTAACTACAGTACATTAACTGATCAGTACCCTTAAATCATTATAATGTACTCAACATATTAATCACATGCATGGATGCCAAGTGCCCAAAAGAAGAAATTTATTATGAGTGGTGGCCTTATGGTCAGTGCGCTCTTCTCCAAATCTAGCGGTCAGGGTTTGAGCCCTGGCCGGGGACATTGCATTGTGTTCTTGGGCAAGATACTTTACTCTCACAGTGCCTCTCTGCACCCAGGTGTATATTAAATTGGTAGCGACGAATTTAATGCTGAGGGGTAACCCTGCGATGGACTAGCATCCCATCCAGGGGGTAGTAGAAATACTCCTAGTCGCTTCATGCAACAGAAACTGTTATAGTCTCTGGCCTGATGAGCCACTTAGCTCATATGCATGCAGACTTTACCTTAACTTGCAACTTTTAGATGACATCATGTGAATAAGTAATCACTTTGTTAGCCCATTGTACAAAATGCCAACGTACAGTTCAGAGTCTTACCTAAACAAGTCTTTGTATCCTTCTGTCATCCCAAGTTCTTCCATAAGCAAGGAAAACCCCTCAAGTTTAACAACATTTTCTCTGTTACAATACTTCTCAAATTTCGTTTTAAGAAATTCTTTTTCTGTGAAACAAAAACAAACTATTGAGAACAAAGTACTGCACAAGCACTTAAAAGTTAGACATCTTTTAAGAACATGTCTCAGTCGAAAAGCATTCCATTTAAGTTGTACTACTTTCAAAATCAGTGAAGTTATTACACTTTCAACTTTAAATTTAGTCACGGTTGGATTTGCAGCTACTTGGTGTTTGGCAGTCTTGTCACTTTTAGCTGGTCAAATTCTGCTACAGTTACTGCTTCAGGTTCACTTCAAAGGAATCATCATCAATTAGCGGTGTGGTAACTCTTGTACCTCTATAGTCCACTGAGCTATACTGGTTGAAGCCTTGTACCACTGGCAGCATCACCCGTGTGACAAATATTTAAAGTAGAGACCAGATGAAGGGTGATCGCTACTTCTTGATGCCAGCTATTCACTGCGCAAAGAGTTGCCTAGCTGCCAGTAGCAGCAAACTTCCTGGTGCAAGGACTTACCTTTAGTACATGGTTACATACTATTTTAATTATTATAAATAACTGTACCTAGTTTTCCAAAATGAGCTGACTCCACTAATTTTTCCATAGCAGAACCAAAACTGTCCCTATGAGGTCTGTGAGAAGTTTTACTGTCATTTAAAATTATGCCTCCTAAATTCTGTTCCCTTGTTACTCTGCCATGCTCCAGAGAGACATTTTCGCCCATAGATACTTTGCACAGTTTTGGATGATACTGCAATCCAGAAGGACATGTGCTGTTTGAAACTTTTGCATTGTTTGTAACAGTTTTTTCATAACATCTGTTGACTGTTGATTCCTCTTTTGCACCTGAAAGGCTAATGAACTCCTCTGAAACTTCCAAAACTACCAATTCTGCAAAAAAGGAAAAATTACACCAGATCAAAATTGGACAAAAGGTCTTCTCAATCCCTGTTTTGCATGCGTTAAAACCCCTTCCACTGCACGGCATTATAACTTATTATCTGTATTTCTCAGCAAACTAATTTAAGCCCCCGGGAAAAAGTTTATACAATGGCTTCATTTTCTGAATTATATCAATGTGCAGTTCCAGTAAATATCCATACTCCCCCCTCAGAAAGGATTGGAATTTCCTGGGGGTGGGGGGTTCTGTAACAACAACAACAACAACAACTTTATTTGTACTCTTGCCTAAACTTTAAGTGTGACAAAAAATAAGTTTAAAATAAAATGAGTACTTGACTGCCCAAAATAGCCTTGATGGGCTAACAAGACTGGGCACCCATCCTTAATGATTAAAGCAGTTACTTATTTGGGTCAGATTAGAAGAGAAAATAAGAAAAGACACATGTAGCACCACACAAAGCACACACACACATGCAAAAAAATTACACATACATTAATTAGTGAAAAATGGTCAGGTAATATAGTGTATTGACAAGAAGAAAAAATGTACGAAGCTTAATACAAATTTTCAGAGGGGTTAGGGGGTCTTAGAAAAAATCCCTTTCGTGGGGGAGGTATGGATATTTTCTGGAACTACACAATCACCTTCTCCACTAAACACTAACAATGTTGCAATAGGAGGCATATGTTTTCACAGAACACAACACTACAACTGGGAGGGAAAAGGGGATAGTCTACATGCAGGCATCCTGTTTCTTGTACTCTGCATGACAGAAGAGATATCTACACTGATAGGCCAAGGCTAAGGGGGTGATGAGTGTATGTTTTCAAATTTCAAAAGGGAAAACCATTACATTATAGGTAATTAAAGATTATTGTGTAACCTTGAATGCAACCTCAAGTAATATTCATTACAAATAAAAAGCACAAGCCTTACAAATAAAAATAAAAATTATTTCTACCTTGACTCACAGCCTTTTTCACCCAGTTACAGACATCACCTTTCATAGCATCACTACAAGCTTCACAATTGGAGAACCACTTAAAGGTTGATCCACAGGCACTTACTAGCTGATTGTTTGAGTTGCTAAGTTTACAAACAGAATGATCTTCTGATTCTTTATCTGTTTCTGAAAAGAGGTTCTGACAATTAGAGCAAGACACGTAAAGCATTAATATCATGATTCTGCCTGTGTCATTGATGCAATGCTTGATGCCAGCTACACCATGAAGATTGACCTGAACATCTCCACCCTGAAAAAGCCAAGTTGAAACACAATCAGCCTCAGGTTCTCATCCATGATTAACAGTTGATTGCTAAATTTATGTATCTTATTAACCACATATGAAGGCTATACCAAGAGAATATCAGCCATCGAGGTCTTTGTAATATTAATACAGATTAAACACAGTGACATACTGCACATACAGAAAAGTCAGATGGTTGATATTCTTCCAATAGAGTCCAAAGCAAGCTTAATTGGTTAATAAAAGATCCATTACACAACCAGTATGCTGCAAATAATATTCTGCTCATGAATGTGTAATTGCAACTAAGCTCTTGTGTGAAAAAATGTCAGACCGCTTCCCTGGGCTGTCAGAGAGTAATTTTAAAATGAAATAAAACTTGTTCATCAAATGATAGTTATCACAAAATATCATGATTTGTCAGTATCTTGAAGATCAATAATTACTATTTGGCAAATAATAATTTGATCTGCTCACCAAAGACAAATCACTATATTTTGCTGAATCTCTTCCACTAGTAATATTGCTACATATTGTGAAAACTAGGAATCTGTTTACTGACCACTGCTGTTACCAGGAGATTATATAGCCATTAAAAGACAAAAAAACCCAGCCATTGAGGAGAGATACATCGGGGGGGGGGGGGGGGGGGGGTATTTTCTGGACCTACACATGACCATATATGGATAATTTAAATACGAATATTGCTCTTGCAGTTCATTAAATAATACTGAAAACAANTATGAGCTATATAGGTATGTGCGGCTCAAAAGGGTATGGTTTTTCAGCCGTTTTGGTCATAAATAGGGTATTGATTTTGGCCATTTTGGTCATAAATAGGGTATAGTTTCTACATTCTAGTCTAATGAACTGGGTATGTTTTTCAGAAGCTACTTTTTGATCATGATCAGTAAGACCATGAACAAAAGCCCTTCACAAATTACGTTTATGGCAATTTAACATTGGTCTGAACTAGAGAACTAACAATTATTTTAAGGTATGTCTAAAACAGAGCATTGATTTGAGTATTGATTGGTCAGGTCATAAATAGAATATAAAATTTTTGGTCAGGTCATAAATAGGGTAGGGAAAATTGCAAATTTTGGTCATAAATGGGGTAAGAGTTTTGGGAAGGGGGTTGCACACTCCCACCCAATTTTTCCGGGAGTACCCACCCCAGGGATACATAGTACTAGTTAGGTACTGAAATTAAAATCTATGTTTGCCAGTTTCTGTAAGTTTTGTGGGAAATCAGGTCCTGATGAGGGAAATCAGGTGCTATTCAAGCAGATGTCCATGTCTTAGAATAATGTAGAAACAAAAGGTTGCTCGTACTGCCAGAACAGTGGATACTGGTATGTCCTGAAGCTCCCCTGGGAACATGTATGGTATGGGCGCAGCCTAGAATAATTCCAACCTCTGGTCAGATCTGAGCTATTTTTTAGCTTTCCTTTGTCTTTTCTCTCTCTCTATTGCTTTGAATTTTTAAATTTTTATCATATTTATTTATTTATTTATTTATTTATTTATTTATTTATTTATTTATTTATTTATTTACATATTTATTTTATTTTATTTATTTATTTCATTTATTGGCTTTGGTTTAACTAGCCAATCAGAACTGAGGAAGAATTGAAAGTGGTCAGCTATATCTTCTTCATATAATTTGACTAAATGGATTTCAGACAAGAATGGTGTGATGCATGCAGGGCAAATTATTTTAAATAGAAACATCTGTATAAATATAAACAGATGTTAATGATTATGAATGACATGAATAATACATTTTCGTTACTTTCAATTTTAATAATATTTACAAAAATACTCGAAATATCATATTTAGCTGTTGTGGTGGTGATACATGATTTGAGGGGCATGTAAGGTTAAAGAAAGACACAATGAATAAACAACAACAAACAAAACAATGTACAAGCAACTAAAACATTAATACTGAAAGAAGCTTTACGTACCAGATGACTTGAAGACCATCTGTGAATCCCTTCCCGAAAACTTTCATTTTCTTTTAGAATAAACCGCGGTAATTCCCACTGACTATCATTGCTGCATTTCCAGAGAAGTACACTGTTATCATCTTTCCTCTTTAAGATGATTTCGGCCCTAAAACAGTTCACTAATTGGCTGTTATCTTGTTTTTTCCTGTCTTTTATTGGATCGCAGCTAGAAGCCATGTTTACATCGTGGCGCGCGTTCCAAACGGTTAAAGGACTGGAGCGGGTTTAGAGAACGATCCTTTGACAACTTTTGGCGCGAAAGCTTGTAATCAACATGGCGGCATTCTCACAGAAGAGAGTTGTGAAGAAACGATTTCACTTTTTACTATCGTCATTTACCACGGAGGAGAAAACGCAGTTATCTCAGTGGATTCAGGAGCTTGGTGGAACATACTATGAGTCGCCTGTAAGCTATACGAGTTGTAGACATTGATTTGCGATAATGCGACAAGGTGTTAGTGCGCGCGCTTGGATCGGATCGAACGACAACCAGAGTGGAGGAGACTTGAGTGATGAGAGTTTTCTCTACTCTCACAGGCTAGCATAAGTGCGCAGTGAACGAGCTGAACGCTGGATTTGCTGTAAACTGACCATTTGCGGGAGAAAACGAGCAAAACCAATCTCTCGTCGACTCACCATGCATCGATCGACAAGAGAGCATCAGCTATAGCAGTGTGTGAGAGCTGTCCCCAAAATAACTCTCGTTATCTGTTGTGGTCCCTCGTTGTCGTTTAATCCGACTTTTGTATCAGTTATTTCCGATTTTCCAGCTGGATTTAAAATGAGTTTTGGGAATCAGAAATTTGAGTTTGAAAGCGTGCCCGCGCATGGGCAGGCATGGAAGGAGTGTGTCTATTGTTGGCTTAACAAACTTAAGCTTGCAACTCCAAGTGAGTGGCCGAGTGAGACGAAATTTTATTGTAGAGTAAAGGCAGTAGCATTAATACTCTGCTTGAAGTGGGGAACAAGATAGGGCATCCATAGGTCAAGGGAACTTTTATGGCCTTTGAAACATAAGCTTATGTTTTGCTGATCTGAACTCATCACATGTTCATTTTATATTATTATTTATACCATGCCATAGAAAATACAGCCAATCAGAATACAAGAAAGCTGTTGTATGCTTGACGGTATTGTACCCAAACTTCCCATCATGTGCTGCACTGATTGTGCTGGCCACTGCATTTTCAATGACATGGTATACTATAGTTGGGCAACACTTTATCATGGTATACACACTCGCCCAAAGGTTTGTGTGTATACCAAGAAAATAGAAGTTATCCTAGCTGCTTGAAAGCATTTCATAACCTAATCCAGAGTTGAATGTTACAGTTTGATCTGTAATTTACGTTTTTTAGTTTTCTTTTTGTTAAGATTATTATAAAAAGTCCAGGACAAATTGAACTAGTTAGAAGTCATCTTGATCTTCAATTCATTGTAAACTACAACTTATATTTATGTCTTTTTTTCAATTAGCATTTTGTAAGGAGCTGCACACATGTTGTCTGTGGAAAACCAAATCGAGGTGAAAAATTTCTTTGTGGCTGTGCATCAGGTAACGTGTATATGGAAAATGATGTGTGTAATGCATTATTTACATTATGATATCAATTCCCCCCCTCCCCCTATTAAATTTGCCAGTTCCCTTTTATACACCTGAGCGGAGAGAGAGTGTCTTGCCCAAGAACACAACACAATATCCCCAGCCAGGGCTGGGACCCGATCCCTTGATCCGTAGGCAAGTGCATTAGCCATAAGGCCACTGTGCCTTCACCATTAATAATGTGAGTCAAACTGCAAACTGCCTGTATGCATTTTATTTAGGCAAGTGGATTTTAAGGAAAAACTTCATAGAGGATAGTAGAGAAGCTGGAAAATGGTTAGATGAAGAGTTGTATGAGTGGAATGAGCAGTGCACAGCTGAAGGGATTTTGGTTGCTCATCTGCTGGCACCTTCTCGCTGGAGGGGATTTCTGCAGCAAAACAAAGGACCTTTTGAGGGCTGGAAAGCATTGGTGGCTGTGGCAGATGCTAAAAAAAGAGCAGCATACAAGAAGTACATGTACATTGCATTCTAGCTTATTACCACTTCATTGTCCCACCAAACATTGATCAGAATCTTCAAGTAATATATCAAATACAAGACACAATATTTTATCACATCATTAAACGATAAGAAAAGAGTTGAAAATACAAAACTTTGAAGTGTTTTAAAATGTGATGAAACACTCATATGTTTTATTGATCCTTTTTTGGGGTTAAAGTGCTAAGGGCGAAGATAAGTTTCTATACCTTTATTTAATGTCCTGTTGGCAGGAAAAATGATAAACAACCATGTTATTAGTGCACCTAGAATGGTTGGGATTATTATAGAGTACAAAAAAGTACTGGTTTGGAGACAGTGTAAAACTTAGTAGACTGATTGTATAGTGTGCTCGTCTGTGTGAGTGTAATTCTGAAAAGTCACCCGCAACAGTTCACTCTGACCCCTGGACGATCACTCTACACAGACTACCCATACTCCTGGGTTCAAACCATTGACTAAATTTCCCTTGTTGTTGTTGTTAGGTTGTTAGAAGTGGGTCATGCCACATTAGTGAGTGGAAAGCCCCCATACTCTGCCTGCCTTGCTTCCAAGCTCACACATGTTTTTGTGGAGAAAGCACTGGAAAAAGACGTGCAAGCTCTTCAGAGTGTGGGAGTCAAATGTCTGTCACCTGATTATATTCCAGAATTCATACTTCAGGTGAGACACAAATCTTTTGATACATTAAGACCTGTCCTGTGAGTTCTGCTTTACTTTACTATAAATCTATTAGTGTTTTATCATGAAAGCTGTTTCCTGATTGGCTAAGCTACCCACTATCTATCCTGTTGGAGATAGTGAGTAGCCTAGCAGTGTGCAGTTGTTAACAAACTGCCGGCCACTTCTTTGTGTTTTCACATCGTCTGTGTAGAGGATTTAGATAAAGTTTTGAATGACTAGTAGATTTATTCTAAAACAATAAAGTTATTCACTTTCAGTTTCTATCAACTATCACATGATTAAACTCTTGAGCTCATAATCTAATAAAATTATTGTTAGATACAGTCTAACCTCCTGTAAGCGACCACCCAAAATGTCGAGCCTAGGTGGTTGCTTACAGGAGGTGATTACTTATGAGAACTTAGACCATATTTGGTCAAAAGTTTGCCTCATTAGCATATGATAGCTGCAGAGACCCCATGTTTTAAACGTTTTATTTGTGTTAAAAGTCAATTTTGAGAAAAATCTGGTACTTGCCATTGAGAAATTTTCATCTCTGGTACTACCCAGGAATGTGATAATGTTACAACACCTTATTATCCCATTATCACTCTACTATCTGTCAAGTGGTCACTTAAGGGAGGTTAGAAACAAAAGAAAATTTCGAACTTTTAGTTCTAAAGGTTGTCACGGTCGCTTACGAGAAGTGGTCGCTTACAAGAGGTTCCAAATATAGTGACTTGACTTTTGGAATTTTAAGGTTAGAGCCCAAAGACTCAAAAGGTTCTTATCAAGAACTCTGCCTACCCTGTCTTAATGTGCACTTTTTCCATTGCTAACTTTGCACTGTTTGTAATAAATCAATCTGGGTTAGTTAGAAGAGCTGAACCTCCTTGGGCCCAGTAGTTTGGGTCCTGACATGTGATGTTCTCCTGTTTGTTCACAAGGATCCCCCTCCTCCAGTTGCGGCATTTTTTATAACAGCCTACAGCTCACCAGTCAATAACCCAACGACTGAAAAACTTCGCAGAACTATCGGCAGGTCCAAGAATACTCCTGTTCTGGGCAGAACTATTCAATGTGGAGTTGGAGAGGAAAATGGCAGCAGCAAATCAACTTCCAAATGGTCAAAGGCATTCCCTTGTGTAGGAAAAGAAAATGACACCGTGGCAAGCATCAACAAGTCAAAAACATCTCCCTGCATCAGCAAATTGAATGACCCTGTGTTGCTGTCTAACAAGTCAAAGACATTCTTTTGTACATGTACTGGAAAAGAAAAAAGTGCCCTTCTAACTGGCAAAAAGTCCAAGGCATCCTCTGAACCCTTATGTGCTTCAGAATCTCCAAGCAAGAAACAGAAACTGGTATAAATGTTATATTCTTGTACAGTTATACACAAATTCATGCTCAAGGTGGAAGTAATTTTCAATCAAGTTATCAAGCAATTTATTTATCTTAGAAATGAGTGCTGGAATTTCAGTCTTCCTATCCCAGGAAAAGTGGATACCCAAAGTTATTTAGCACAAAATACTGCTTACAGGCTGCAACAAAGTCAGCACCTTGCTCTTAATAAGTTGTTTAAAGTTTTCTCATAATTTCTTTGTACATGTAATATTCTTTAGGATGACAAATTGGTGGGGTTAAGTGACTGTGTGGATAGGTGGAGAGCAGTATCCCGCTTAAATGGCTCAAATACAAACAAGGTAAGGTACTTTTCTGTGATTCGTACTAGACTTGTTTCCCACATGTACACTTTTTATTACCACTAGTCCTAAAGTCTTGTGATGGACTTTTTTTTTCATGCTCATTTTTAGGCATTGTTTGAAAATTTTTATACTGAACGACTAATTATACACAAGCAGTGCTGACAGAAATCCTTTTTTAGTGTCTCTGGTTGTTTGTTCAGGTCTTTGTAGAACTTTTTGGCAGGATGAGCATTTGAAGAGGGATACTAAAGTATCTGCCGACTAACACAGTGCTAACAGAACTTGCATTGCTGATTTGCTGTTATCACACGTTCAACCATGCATTTGACACTTTGCATACACTGTCTGTAAAATCCTATCAACGGCAGTAAGAAAAACCTTACAGATTAAACATATGCCAAAATCAAATTACTTTGTCCGGATACTGAAATTGACACCTTGTTTCTGCCAGTTTGGAAATATAGGTTATTGACCAAGCTTGTTAGGTCAAGATGGCTGGATATTGGTCAAGTTCTTTTTTTTGGCATGTTTATGGACTGAGACAGAGTCAAGGTCCATAAACACGCAAGAAAGAACGAGGTCAATATCCAGCCATCTTGACCAATCAAGCTTGGTCAATAAAGGGTTTATCAGATGGAAAATACTGTTTTCTTTTGGGACACAGCCGGTAATCCCAATCGGTCAAGATAGCGCCATCTTGCCTGCTCGGGTAACCAATCACAGTGCAGGATTCGGTTCATCTTTCCCGCTCCCGGAGCTAGACATATAATAAGGCAGTTAAAGGGTTAGTATGTGCATGTATGTTATTTCAATATAACATGTAAATGATTAATACTGCAGCGGGTGCGTGTCAGCAGTGAGTTTCTTGGGTACATTGTGGATTCAATTGAAGGCTATCTGGAAGCATCACACAAGTTCACAGTACTGGATGTTATTGGTTCTTTCATGACATCTGAGAGGTACCCTCCCCCATCTCTTCTGCACACAATTACACAAAACCTGCTGTGGGTAAGTGCAACAAGATATTTTATCGCCGCTTAATTGATCCCATTTGTTTTAGTTTGAGCAATGTTATGCATTATTACTTCCCCGCAAAACGAGGCATCTGAGATTCCGTACGTCCAAAGCATTCCACTCTCACGTTCGGCTTCAGATACTCGCGTCATGTTTCACTGTGATCCAGCTCTCAAATACCCATTAACAATTTCTGAAATTTCAACCTTTTTGTTGGATTTCAATGCCTCCATCAATAGTAAAGGTCTTCACTGAAGATCTACCCACCGACTCTCAAAGTTACTTTCTTCAATCATCTTCAGTTTCACCCAGCCCATGTTAAAAGTTCCATTCTTTATTCTCAATTCTTTAGACTAAGACATTTGTGTAGCGACAATTCTGACTTCACCGAAAAGTCAGGGAAAATGAGCCAAATTTTCACCGTAGTTGTGGCTATCCTAAATCTGTTTTTAACTTGTGATATAGAACGCACTCAGCAAATGGATCAACTGCTGCTCAGATTGTTTGTATCCTAACATCGCACTATCATCATGTCAAACTCAATTGAGGATCTAAGTTTGACTTTTCGCACGGCTTTAACTCGACCTTTGGTCCAGAGTTAGGAGCACGATAAGCTGAGACGCGCTGCCAGACTTTGGTGTGTAGTTGATCTACATGTATAGCCTGTTAATTTTTGGACAGTTTCATCAATATAAACGCACTTCTACGCGCAACATCTAGAGGAGGATTCAAAGTTAGACACAAATACGACTGAATTAAGTTCGATAGAATAACCAGATGTTGACAGAGTTAAGTTGAACTGAATTACAACTAAGTGTGTGAATCAGCTGTCGACTTACCGTGAGTTGCGCTTAAGTTTGGCTTTACGCCGTCAGTTTGGAAATTTTTTGGATGTCGTTCCCTCTGGTAAACTCCACTGTCCTTTTCACGTTAGAATTCATATAATTAACGTAACAAAATCAAAAGTGAATAAACCATTGTACAATAATCAGTGTTTGCAATTGCTCTTTGGCGTGGTCACTGCTGTCCTAAGTGACTGGGTTGTATTTTAGTAAGTTTTTGTTTGTTCGTTCGTTTATTTATTTATTGCATGGCTAACACAATCTGGGTATACCAAAATCAACATTTCGCCTCTGGGTTAAGAATAAAAGCACTGAATATAGCTAAGAAGCTCTGAAAATTTCGTAAAGGGGAAACGCTATTTTATGATTTTACACGTCAAAGTCTTTCAATATTTTCACGACTTGCTCATCAAGACAGCGCATTTATGATCAAAACAGCGTTTGGTAAAGTTTCGCTTTTTTAAAACGTTCACAGTATTTCACTCTTACCTTTGTTGTGTTACAGAAAACCCAGTCTCGTGCCCAGGCTCTCAAAGCGTTCCTGTTGCTTCAACGTCTGCTTGTACTACATAAACCATCCGAGAACCCTTCTCTCTACCAGTCCACGCTCGGCTTCCACGCGGGTGTCGATGGGATATCACAAGAGGGAGGCAGTTGGGAATTCATAAAAACAATCTGCAGGTGAAGGTCTTAAACAAAAAAAAATATAAAACTGCAAATTCTCTTTTGTAATATTACGTTATGTTTTAGTTTCCCTTCATCCCTAGGACGATGTTGAATAGGTGATTTCTATGGCCTCATTAGACTGAAACAAACAAAGTCACTTTACGCTCATTAGGGTACTTGTTATTTAACCAGAAATGTAACAGCTCTTATAAGTTGCTATTGTTTTATTATTGTAGCAGTTCTTATTGTTTTAGGGGTATTGTTTCCGTTGTTTGTTCTATTGTTCCCTGAAAGAGTATCGAGCCATTGTTGTGAGACCTTACGAGAGCTGCCACATGACCCATTTAAGCCTTATTGTGGCTTCAAACTTTAAGTAATAGAAAATGAGACGGAGGGTATTTATAACATAATTTTGGTTTGTGTGCGGCATTTCCAGGGAGGAGTCGCGATGGTGCTTGTAACTTCACGAGGACTGAACAATTTGAATTTCTCTTTGATTTTTAGTAACAGAGACGAGCACAGCCTGCTTCTTCTTCGGTTTGCGACCACCTTACTGGAGCAAGATTTCTACGAACGTACAAGCAGTTGGTATGTCACTTTGTACAGCCAAGGCTATGTCCCAGTCTGTCATAACTGGCATTCATATCTGAGTAATCGCAATTCATTCCTATCAGAACTAGACGGTAACAGGTCCCGAACCTATAAAAATCTGCCAACTTAGCCAAGTAACCATTGGGTTTCGTTTGCTTCTGACTGACATGTTGGACGAGTTTTTTGACCCAGCAGCAGAGCTCGACAAATGCAAAAATTTAAGAAAACAGACAGCGATCTTTACATCTTCATTAATTGGTGAACTATTTGAATCTTGTCTCTGTATAGTATCACGATTTTATGAAGCCCTCACACGAAATAATGCGAAAATAGTTCCATGGCAACCGTGGTAATTATTCACTCTTTTATCTTCGTTTAGCGTTTCAGTAACTCCCAGTGAAAAATTAAATTGCCTGAAAGATTCTCTTCTGTGGCGCATGTTTTGGCCGGGACCATCTTCAGTCTGCTTCAACACTCGACTGCGCGAGCTATTTGGGAATACTTGGAGCACAGCTTGTTTATCACGTGACCATCCATCTCAGGTGAGTGACAGATGCTCATCAATCGGAAAGAAAGCAAAGCCGACAGAGCGAGTTGTAAGTCTGTTTATGTATTGTAGGTATTGTAGGCTCATCCGTGAGTGGACAGTCCGATACGAAATAGTATGTAATATCGTGGTCGAAAATACTTACACATGGTTTGAAAAAAAAAACTGGAGCCAATATCTAGGAGCACGCCAAGATTAGCTCTATTCAGCGAGATTTTTCCCGCGCCGCGTCTGTAGATCATCCTATCAAAAACCACAAATCCTACATGGATGATAAGTAATCTGAATGTATGATTTGTGTCTGAAAATCAAAATGCTTAAAGAAAAAGAAAGATAATATATATTAAGAACTCGTAAATTATGGGTTTATTAACCTAGCGCGTTCAAGATTTATTACACGAATAAGTTATCGTGTATGCAGTATGCAGGACACCTATCATATTTGAACTCAGTTAAATGGCCTTGCTCTCCATGAGTTCTCGTAACTCAGTGGATAGAGCGCCCGCTCGGTGTTCGGGAGGTCATGGGTTCGATTCCTGTCGGGGACTCAGAA